GTGATTCAGGATATATGAGCCAACCAAACCCTTTCTTTCTGAAGTTGCTTTAAGTCGTGTTGCTTCATCCCAGCAATGGTCACCCTAACCTAGGAACGGCTCCATGGTCTGTTTCTTCAACACCACGGGGCTTCCTAATAAGCATTCCTAGTCAGCTTTTTATTTATTTATTTTTTAAAACTTTCAGCACCAAAATCACTTAAAGTAATTTTGGATATTATGGAATAAATGGATGAGATCTGGAAACTTCAGCCAGAAAAACTCAAAGTACAACAACTTGAAGTGCAGTACGGAGAACAATTGCATTAGGAGATGAAGCTCCTGTGGGAACACAGGAAGTCCCAGACATGCTCCTAGGCTTCCAGAACACCATGGTTTTTTTTTTTTTTTTTTTTTTTTTTTTTTTTTTTTTGGCACTGGGTATTGACTGACCACATGGGAAAAGCCCTTTGAGTAAAGATAATGTATGTTTGTGGAATGCAGAGGAAAATTGTCTACCAAAGCTGAGAGATGTTTTAGGAACTGATTTTTAAGCGCATGCCATTCTGGAAAGATCGGGCTTCTAGCTGGTTCCTGGAATTCGTCATGCTTATCTAGTTAACGGTACTGTTCTTTTTTTTTTTTCTTTTAATTGAGAAAAGGAAAAAAAAAGTTTCCACTTCCTCCCAGTCTCCCATTTCCCTCCCCCTCCTCCCACCCTTCTTCCCCTCCCCCCACTCCTCTCCCTCTCCCTCTCCAGTCCAAAGAGCAGTCAGGGTTCTCTGCCTTGTGGAAAGTTCAAGGTCCTCCCCCCTCCATCCATGTCTAGGAAGGTGAACGTCCAAACTGGCTAGGCTCCCACCAAGCCGGAACATGAAGTAGGATCAAAACCCCGTGCCATTGTCCTTGGCTTCTCTTCAGTCCTCATTGTTCTCCATGATCAGAGAGTCCGGTTTTATCCCATGCTTTTTCAGTCTCAGTCCAGCTGGCCTTGGTGAGCTCCCAATTTTATCTGCCCCACTGACTCAGTGGGTGGGTGCACCCCTCGTGGTCCTGACTTCCTTGCTCGTGTTCTCCCTCCATCCGCTCCTCATTGGGACCTTGGGAGCTCAGTCCAGTGCTCCAGTGTGGGTACGGTACTGTTCTTGAGGAGGCTTGTGGGAGCTCCTGCTGTGGACAACCTTCCCATCGAATGCACTTCCACTAGCGAGGGGGCGGGATTTAGTCTTTCGTGGGCGGAGCTTCAACATCACGTTGGGCGACGTCCTTCTTTTCTTGTCAATTGCCTTGAAGATTTCTTGGAGGAGACCCTAAAGTCGAAATGTAACATTTCTGCTGGAAATTTTAAAAGTTGTCCAAAGGATTTTTTTTAATCTCTTAGAAAATGTAAGGGCGGAGCTGGAGAGGCAATTCCCTAGTTGAGATTGCTTGCCGCTTTCCCGGAGACCTGGATTTGGCTCTCATCACCCCCACACACCGGATGTTGCCCAAACGGCTGTAACTCTAGTTCCGTCTGGAACTCCAGATCTGATGTGGCCTCCTCAGGTGCCCACGTACATGTGTGCACACAGAGACACACATTTATAGTGAAATAGAAAGCATATATATATATATGTTTGTATATATATTCATTAATTCAGAGAGAGAACCAGGTGTGGCTGCACACCTTTAACCTCAGCACTTGGAGAGGCAGGTGGATTAGCATGAGTTCTAGGCCAGTCAGGGATATATATATATGGAGAGAGAGAGACTCTGTCTCAAAAATAAAAAGGAGGGAAGACATACAGCAACAGGAAAATACAATGACATCTCAACAGTACACAGCTGTTGTTGCCTTTTCATTAAGGATATAAGGGGTATCATTAAGTTTCTACAGAACTTTCCAAGTCTGTGACCCTGTGGTTGAAGTAAACGTGTATTGACAAGAAGGTAGAGTGCTTGACTCTTAGACTAAGCGTGATGTGGTAAAATCTGCATGGAGCTCATAAGATGAATTTGGGGATGTACGCCGCTAGATTTTTTTGGGGCGGGGGGGGGAGTTCTTGATATAACAATTTTGTCTTCTCAGCATGCTCTCCTGTAGGACATAGATACTTTGTTAATTTTTGTTAGCCAAATATTGTTTTTAAGAAATCTGTAAGCATAGGAAACAGTAGACTGAAGACATGGCTCAAAGGTTAAGAGCACTGATAACCCTTCCAGAGGTCCTGAGTTCAGTTCCCAGCAACCACACAGTGGCTCACAAGGATCTGTAATGAAGTCTGGTGCCCTCTTCTGGTGAATAGGTGTACATGCAGGCAGGACATAAGTAAAAAATTATATAAATAAGTAAAACATTATATAAAAATTATACTAAAATTATATAAATAAAAATTATATGAAATACTAAATAAAATTTTAACAAAGCCCCCCCAAACTAAGGAAGCAAACAAACAAAAGAACGAGAAACAAAACTTGAAACCCAAGAGGGAAAAACATATGTGAGGAAATAAATGGATTTAAATTTTGAGCTGGGTCTGGTGGGCATAGGCCTAGAACCCCAGCTATTTGGGAGGCTGAAGTTAAAATACATTTTTACCATAAATTTTAAGACTAGTGTTTAGTAGAGAGATGCTCAGAGAAAGAGAAACGTCCAAGGACGGATATGGACTTCTCAAGGGACAACTGTGCCTACCGTCTTTCATTGGACATAAAAGTTACTTATTTGGAGAAATGGCTCAGAGGTTAAGAGCATTGTCTGCTCTTCCAAAGGTCCTGAGTTCAATTCCCAGCAAACACATGGTAGCTCACAACCATCTATAATGAGGTCTGGTGCCCTCTTCTGGCCTGCAGACATACACACAGACAGAATATTGTATACATAATAAATAAATAAATATTTTTAAAAAAGTTACATATTTTGCATTTTACTTATTATTTTGTATGTTCCTTGTATGCACTGGTATGCATGTGTCATGGCACACGTGTGAAGGTCAGAGGTCACCTTTATGGAGTGGGTTCTTTCTTCTCACCTCCCAAGGGTTCCAGGAATCCCATGTTAGGTCTTTGGGGGCAGGAAGAAAGATTATTCTCTATCTGTGCCATCCGGCCCAGCCCTTAAATTACACGTTTTCAAGTGTAATTTACAACAGGGTTTAAAGGTTAAAGATGGACTTTTAAACTTTTTTTATTACCTTTATGAGTGTGGACACCCACGCCCTGACACACGTGCGGTGATCAGGGGACAGCCTGTAGAGACAAACCTCTCCTTTCCTCTGTGCCCCCTTCCACCGCGTGGGTTCCTTGGCCGAAGCTGAGGTGGTTAGGGTTCAGACCTCTCCTTGTCCCAGAATCGCTTGCTTTTTTCTTTCTTTCTTTTTTCTTTTCTTTTCTTTTCTTTTCTTTTCTTTTCTCTTTTTTTAAAAAAAAAGCCGATCAAGCCGGGCGGCGGTGGCACATGCCTTTAATCCCAGCAATCTCTGTGAGTTCGAGGCCAGCCTGGTCTACAACAGCTAGTTCCAGGACAGGTTCCAAAGCTACAGAGAAACCCTATCTCGAAAAACCACAAAAAAAGAAAGAAAAAAAGAAAAACAAAGAAAGAAAAGAAAAAAAGCTGATGTGTTTTAAAACCTTTGTTAGTGAGGAGCAATTAAGATTTAGGAATGGGATCAAATCTGCTAAAATTCGAGGTCCTAAATAATATTGGCCTTCATTCCCTGTGACCTATGACAGCAACCTGGACGCTAAGTAAACTGGTGCAATAGCGGCATAAATGTTATAGGGGTAGCCGACCTCTCTTTGATTGGATTTCAGGCTCACTCCACGCTGTAGATCCCACACAGGACGCTGCTAAAGTAGCCAAGGACCTGAGACCAGATAGATAGGTCGTGACCCCTAGGGGGAAACCTCCTGCTACTCTGCTAGTAAATGGCTCTTGATGACATATTGCTATCTGGGCCCATGGCTCAGAGCCTCATCCAACCCTCCTCAGAGAAGCCTCTTTTTGCAGTAGATGGGAGTTAACACGGAGACCCACAGCAGGACAGTGGGGAACTTTGGTGGGTCTTCATCATAACCCTCCCCGCAAGACTCAGGGATCGACACAGAAGAGGAGGCAGAAAGCTGGGAACAGACAGAGGTACTGGATCATTCCAAGGAAAGTCTTCAAGGTCCAGCAGGGCTCATACACGTACGAATTCACGAAGGCTTTGACAGTAGGAACAGGACAGACCTACATAGGCTCAACACAGACAAAATTCCAGCACTGAGAAGGGGAAGTGGACACAAAGTTCCACCCCTAGCCACAAAGCGTACCTACTGTGTATATTAACTGCACTTCAGATCAGCCCCCAGCTGAATCCTCATGTGTGTGCTTGTACGCGCGCACGTGTGTGCATGTATGCACTGTGTGAGTGTGTGTGTATGCATGCATGTGTGTGCGCGCGCGTGTTTGCGTGCGTGCGTGTGTGTGTTTTGTTTTTGGTATTTTTTGTCTTATTGGCTTTTATTTGTTTTGATGTTTTTGGCTTTGGGGTCATTTTGGGGAGAGAGAAAGAACATGAAGTTGGATGGATAGGGATGTGCCGAGAATCTGGGAGGAGTTTGGTGAGGGGAGAGAATATAATCAAGATACGTTATATGTAAAAAAAAATTTAAATTCATAGATAAAAGAAAGAAAAGGGGTGTTATATGATTCTGATGTACATGGTATAAAGATTCTGGTGTTACATGAAGATTATCAGACATTCTGGGTTCTTTAAATCTAAAAAAAGATGATTTATTAGCCAATGTCTTTGTTTTTTTTTGTTTGTTTGTTTGTTTGTTTTTGTTTTTTGACAGAATCTCATATAGCCCAGGCTGGCCCTGAACTTGCTGGGTAGCCCTGACTGGCTTTAAATGCCTGATCCCCCTTCCTCTGCCTCCCAAATCATGAGAATACAGTCACTATTCAACTTATCAGTCAATAATTAATATCCCAGCCGTTAAAAAGTATGGCTTCTTCTTAGAAAACTTCCTGGGAGTCAAGGGGGAACTACAGGAATAAGTAGGAAACAAACACAGCAAGGGAGCAGAAGGCTTGTAGGTTACCAGTTCCCTCCCCCTGGGGCGATTCCACCGGATGAGAGGCACACACGTTCAGTTCTGAGTGACATATGAAATAAAGATGTTTGCTATTTTGTGTTTTCTTTCCCTGTATTTTAAACATTTCTACAAATTAAAAGTGATACACAAATCTATCCAAAGCCCTTTTTATTGTCTTTACAATGGCAAGCAAGGGGCAGAGGACCTAAATTGGGTCCTCCGTATTCACAGCGCGTCAAGGCCCAATCCGGGCTGGAGGTCAGGGGAGCCGCACCCGCCACGTCCGCTCACTGGCTTTCGGTTTCCGTGTGTCTCCATCTTGTCTACGCAGATCCTCAGATCCGACGTCCGCAGAGTGAAGTTCGCGGCGACCTGAGCCACCCCAGCCGCCACTTAAGGCAGACGGGTACGTGACCTGCGCGGTGTAACCCGCGCGCCACACTCCTCCTTGCAGCGCTGTGCGCGGCTGGGACACCGCGCCCCCCTATCCCAGCTGTGAGCCTCCTGGCTCGGCCCTGGAGGCCAATGCGAGTCGCACTCTGGCGAGCACCGGGGACGACGGGAGGAACGGGGAGGACTGCAGTTCCTCCGCCTGCTCGGCCTGCCAGGCACCGGCCTGGACGGTGCGCCCCCAGCCGGGCTCCCCACCTCCGCGGCCCTGCGCCCCTTCCCACTGTGCGGGTCCCAGCAGGGCGGCCGCAAGCGCCCAACCCGAGGTGGCCTGATGTGTTCAGGGGATGGGACCCGCGGGGAAGTAGCCCTTAAAGGACTCTTGAGCATCCGGAGGAGAGGAGGGAGCACCCTTGAACCCCAGGGGGATCACACCTGCGTCCCCAGGCGGAAAACTGAAGATTAACTTTGCTGATCGAGCCACAATAGCCTTGCGTAAACGTCTTGAGAATTACTCATTTCCTGGAGTTGAAATGTCCTAACTAGCCGTTTTTGAAAAGTTGAACGGGATCATTTCCTTGTGTGCGTGCTCAAGAGAATTTACCCAGTGCTCTCAGTTTTACTTTCAAGAGCACAGCGAAGTGCCTCTGCCTTTTCCCAAAGCACTTCAGCGTTATTGACAAGAAACGCTTTCCCTGGGAATTGAGAATTCAGTGCTTCTGTCCGTCCGTCCATCATCTATCTATCTATGTATCTATGTATCTATCTATATATCTATCTATCTATGTATCTATCTATGTATCTATCTATCTATCTATGTATCTATCTATGTATCTATCTATGTATGTATCTATCTATGTATGTATCTATGTATGTATGTATGTATGTATGTATCTATCTATCTATCTATCTATCTATCTATCTATCATCTTTCCATCCATCCGTCTACCCCTTAAAGTAAGCCTGACCCTACTCTTTTCTCACTCACTTCAGACTGGCAGAACTCTGAGTATTTCAAGGTGTTTTCTCTTAACCAGGTCTGGATTTGCTTGGGAGAGTTAAGTTCGCTCGCTTGAACATTAACAAAGGAACACCATAGAACAAAGGCCACTGTGTTCCCTGGAACTAAATCCAAGCTCTAATAAATCCCTCCGGGTTTTTATTAGTTAACCTTTGCTTCTACAGTAAGAAGGGTAGGGCCAGTAGGGGGTCGCCAAAGTCAGACCTTGACCAATGGGGATGGTTTTAAATGAGAAAGAACATGACTCCCCTTCACACCACCGCCTATGGTTTAAAAAAGGTTCTGAACAAAAGGTTCAGCTCTCCCATATTGCAAACAACCGTATCACAAATTTGTAAGCAAATTATTGGTTTTTTTTTTTTTATGTTTTGGCTTTCTGAGACAAAGCTATGTAGTCCTGGCCATCCGTGAACTCACAGGTATCTGTCCACTTGCCTCTGTCTCCTGATTGTGTTGCTAGGATTAAGGCTTGCGTGGCTGTTGGTCGCTGTTGCTGGGAGCCCAGGCAGCCATAGTCTGTAGCCAATTGAAAAAAGTCTTCATTCCAGCCAGCTGGGACTACACTTTAGATATTCAGGACCTCAGGGTAGTTCCCAATGTCTGGAGCATGGTTTTTTGTTTTGTTTTGTTTTTTAAAAATATTTATTTATTATGTATACAATATTCTTTCTGTGTGTATGTCTGCATGCCAGAAGAGGGCACCAGACCTCATTACAGATGGTTGTGAGCCACCATGTGGGTGGTTACTGGGAATTGAACTCAGAACCTTTGGAAGAGCAGGCAATACTCTTAAGGACTGAGCCACCTCTCCAGCCCAGCATGGGGTTTTTGAAGGCAGAAACTGTGTCTTAGCTTCTCACTTGGCAACTGGTGGTGGAGTGGGGGTGGGGGTGTTGGCGCTTTGCTTAAACAAGTAATTTGACAGATGGTAAGATAAGAGAGTTAGCTGGAAGGGCAGGTTTGCACCAGCAGGCTGTTTAACAGAGGCTTAGCCAACCGGGGCACATTGACCTAGAACAGAGTTGGGCAATTTTCCGTGGGATTCTCCATCAAAGAGCTCAGATTCTAGTTAAACGTGAAAGGGCCTCAGCAAAGAATTGAGCATGGAAGGACCTTTGCCCTTGTCCTGTCTAACTGTTAAGTGCGTTCTGAATGTTTTCCTTACAGTAGCTTTCTTTTTGGTCAACAATTCTTTTACCTGTAGCTTTTGTGTTAAATGACTTGGTAAAATGTATTTTTCATTTTTTAACTGGGTCTTACTATGTAGCTCAAGATGGCCCGCAATTCGTGATCTTTCCTCTTTAGCAACGCCTCGCAAAAAAGAAAGAAAGAAAGATAAAGGAAAAGAAAAAGAAAAGGAAAGGAAAGGAAAGAAAAGGAAAAGGGGGACTGGCGTGCGCCACACAAAGGTTCTTTTTCTGCAGGTTTTATGTTGTACTTTGTTTTTGGTGACATTTGAGCTTGAGCACGTCATCACTTACAAACCGAAACCGGTAGGCGTCCCCACGGGGGAGGAAGGTAGTGGGTGGGTTTTGGAACCTTGGCTCGTCGGTTCCGCCCACAGAAGCGGAAGTGAGTTTGGTTTTGTGGCTTTTTTTTTTTTTTTTTTTTTTTTTTTTTTTTTTTTTTTTTTTTTTTTTTGCACTTTCCAGGCCCTTCTTGTGAGGGTCTTGGGCTCCAGCATGGCTTGGCTCAGTCATTTGTGGTCCGGGGGTCGCCGTTCACATCTCCCCGGAGCCCTTGTCTTTGGTCGTTGGAACGGGGCGATGTCCTTTTCGCCGGGCGGGTACCAGCGGTCGTGGACCTGTTGGACTTGCTGGCCCACGTCACCTGGCTAGCAGCTGGGGCCAGCTGTGCAGACCGACTTTCCAGCTGGAGAGGCTAACTCCTGATGTCTGTGTTCTTCCCAGTATCTCGTTCTGTCCAGTTTTCTGGAGGTCTCCGGCAAGGACAGGCTGCATTCTGAGCCACTGTTGAGTTGGGGGAGCCGGCGATCGCCCGGCGTGAGTAAACCGAGACCCTGCCCATTCCCTTCTATTCTGATCTTTCCCCAAGGACTGTGGGCATTGGGGGAGCTGCCCCTTGGTTAATCAGGAAAGGGTTCATTTCCTGTCTTCCATCCTTGGACCCTTCTGAGTTCTTTTGGGGACCCACCCACAGCGCCTCCAGACTTGTGGCACCTTTTAAATGCAAGTTTGGTTCTGTCTTGGAGAGGGCCAAAGACTGATTAAATTAAACTCGTTACTGGACTCAAATGCCTGCTTGTCAATCCAATGAACTGCCCTTGATGGAGCAAAGTTCTCGACACGATAGTTGGTTTTGTTTTTTGTTTTTTGTAACCTCAGTGTAGAGGCTGCCTGGACAAAGCCCAAGGACAGCCTGCTCTAGGAAGAAGCCTGCTGGACAGTGTAAGGCAATGGGGGCTTGGCCCAGGGGCCTTCCTATCCTCAAAGCATTTCTGTTTTTCTTAAATCTGTTGTAATGCCCTAGCTGACCCCAGACTTGACACCCTACCTATAGGAGTGTCCCCCACCTTTAACAAGCTGGGGTCACTGTCTTGCCCCTTGCACGGGATTTCACTTCGTACTTTGCATTTGAATATACCAAACCTTTTGGGCAAGTTCCTGGGTTTAGGGCTTACAAAGTAACTAGAGACCCTACTCCCCTGGCCCCGCTCCCGCCCAATCTCCGCCCCGTCCCCGCCCCACCCCATGAGTGCATTCCCCAGAGACAGCCAAAGGCAGCTGGTTCCAGTCTTTTACACATTGCTGGGCTCAACTGCAGTCTGTTTGATTAAAAAAAAAATGTGTATTTTGCTCCCCCCAACATCTCCACTTATTTTTGTATGGTGGTCTTTCTCCACGGTGGCTTTCAGAATTGATGTTTGTGGGATCGTCATTTCTGCTTCTCCTACCCTAGCACCGCTCCCTGTTCCCATCTTTGCACAGTGGTCTCTTGAGACTGTGAATCTCTGCAGGTTGTTTCGTTTGCCCTGATTCCCCCACCCCCGTTTAATTCTTAGCTTTGGAGAATAATTTCTTCTTTTGTGTCACACTTGAGTTATTTGTGTGCTTGGAGCCTTTCTTCCCAGGTAAATCGTGCCCTGGTGCTCTTGATACCTTATTCTGTATTTACGCTGATTTGATGATCTGCCCTCATGGCCACTTTTTCTTTGTTTGACCGTTTAATGCCAGAAAACAAAGACAACTCCACAACAAGAAGCCTCAGTTTTGTTATTTTCCTCTTTTTGGGTTTTCTCTGTCCTTTGGAAGAGTTAAGTTCCACCAGCTTGGTGGCAGGTGCACCATGTACTCCAGATTGTGTCTTCTGCAGGGAGCGCTTCAGGTGAAGAATGTAGTTAAAGATGACAGCTCACTGTAGCCTAGGATGGCCTGCGTGTCAACAGGCAGTACAGGCTGGCCTGGAATTCTCCAAATCCTCCTGCCTCAGCTTCCCTTCTGCTAAGACTACTGGCGTGAACCACTTCCCCAGGTGCATCATTGTTTTTGATCTGTATCTAATACCCCGTTCTCTGTTGTAATTGGAATTTCCTGCCATTTAAACTACTTCTCCCAAGGCTTGTTTTGGGGGTAAATGACTTCCCTTAATGACCTGGTATCCTAAGTGGGAACCAGAGCTTCATCTACCTGTGAAATAAATGCTCCTGCTTTTTCTTTTTTTAAACTTCTTTTGCCTTTATTCATCTGTGGTCTTGAAAAAGTAACCTATTTTTCTTGTTGCTTTTAATAGTAGTTTTTTCTTTCTTTCTTTTTTCTTTTCCTTTTTTCTTTTTTTTCTTTTTTTTCTTTTTTTTTTTTTTTTTTT